GTGATGGTGTGAGGTTAGCACAAATGACTATGGCGCTTTAGCATTTTTGAAATTTTTCATGCAAATCAAAAAATAATCAAATTTTTATTATAAACAAATCATATAAAATAAATACTATTATTTTATAATAAATTGATTATTTTTTAATATTTTGTGAATTTCTTTTTAATAACTAAAGTGACTTATTTTAAAACAAAATTTTAATTGTATGATCTAGTTTTAATCAGTTTTATTGGCATGCTTATTTTGATGGGTATTTATTAGTTTGCAATTTTTATACAAAATTGTTATCAATGCATTTAATTTGGTTTTAGGTTTTATAAGCAAACTTTAGATCATACAATCGAAATATTTAATAATTTGGCAAGTGTAAGCATTTTACGCAAAAGCAAGTTACATGCACTAGAGAAGCTGTAATATTCCAAATGGATGGTATACGTACTTGATGAAGAGAGCTTTGGTACCTATTTTTTTTTATAAGCAATACCTTTATTATGCTGCTGTAGGCGCGTGTTAATTGACGCAAAATTATTTATATAATAATTATTATTATTTACTTTATTTTTATCTTTTATATGGTAAATATTTTTTCCTAGTAAAGTTTTCTAAATTAATTAAATATTTTAATTTATTCAATATTAATAAGTGAACCCATAAGAATGTTTTGGTGCTTTAACTATTTCTATTAGATTTGTTAGAACAGAAACCTCTGTAAGTTAAAAATTATACATAAGATATTATCCTTTTTATATAATTAAAAAAAATAGAAGAAGAAAAGTAAAATAAAATATAAATAGTATGGAAGAGGAAATCCAGAAATAAAAAGATGTAATAGTAGAGTAATACATATATAAAAGTTAAACAAAATATATATAAAAAAGGATAATAGTTTATTATTTGCTTGCAATATTAATAGGCAAATTATTAATAATAATATTTTAATATTTAATTGCTGTTCAAGAAATCCATGCAAAAGTATAATGCAGTCACCACTATTTTTAGTGTGCTTAATGAAGTTATGGATAAAATATGCATAAATATGCAAAAATATACAAAAATATGCAAAATATGCAAAAATATGCAAAAATATGCAAAAATATGCAAAAAATATGCAAAAATACGCAAAAATATGTAAAATAAATTGGGAAATTGCCAAATTTAATATATAAAAAATTATAAAACTTTGTTACCATTGTTAGGGAATAGTTAGGGGATAGTTAAAATTATATGAGTTTAGTTCAGTACAGAATTTACAAATAAAAATTAGTAATTTTTTGTCGTGTACATAACAATACACTATGGAGCAATCTCAGATAAGTATGTGAGGATATAATAAGGATTCTAACAAGATTTTGTGATGGTTATTTTAAAATAAATGAAGATCTTGAATTAAAGAAACGCTTAAATGAAGAATTACAAAATGAATAAAAGTCAACTACAGTCTGTTCGCTATACTTACGCGGGTTTCGGATTAACAAAATTATGCAAATTAGTCATTGACAACCAGTTCCATAGGCCTCTTCCCAAGAAATTAGGTAAAATTGCCCTAATGGTCAGATTTAAATTAAAATAACATTAGGGTAGGTACTAAATTTGTTACAAATATTGCAGTTGAATTGATTCTTTGCAAGTGTTGACATTCTATGTATATTGTAAATTTAGTGGAAATGTAGATAGTCTAATTTGTAGTGTACATAAGTATTTTACGGATGAAAAATAAAATGGCGGTCCTTTAAAATCGGTAATGTCTGTACAACAACGCGTATGTGCTGCTCTAGGAATTAGTGAAACCAAATTAAGAGGAGTATTACAAAATCACAATAGTGAACTGCCGAAAGAAGATCACCGCAAAACTTGCTCATCATTGAAAACGAAAGATATTCCAGATGGAAAGAAATTTGAAATTCGTGATACCATTTATCGAATGAGGGCCAACAAGGAACATGTGACCTTAAATACAATTGTCTCGGAATTAATAGATAGACAATTTGACGATATTGGCAGAACAAGTCTATGGCAAGTGATACATAACTTGGGTTTCAAATTTCAAAAGGAGGATAACAGAAAGGCCCTTTGTGAAAGAAGTTCTGTCGTGCACAAGAGAATTAACTTTCTAAGAAAACATTCTAAATTTAAAGAAGAAGGGGCGAATTTTATATATTTAGACGAAACATGGATATTTTCTAGGGGTGAAACCAAGAGAATATGGCAAGATGATAACGTAAAGTCCATTAAACATATCGATGGAGAAGGGAAGCGACACATAATTTTACATGCAGGAGGGAAATCGTGTTTTATAGAAGGTGCTCATTTAATATTTTCATCTAAATCAAAATCCAGTGACTATCACGATAATATGAACACAGAAATGTTTGTAAAATGGTTGCATGAAAAACTTCTCCCAGGTTTAAGTGAGCCCAGCGTAATTATTTTAGACAATTCACCTTACCATTCTAAAGTATTAAACAAAAGTCCAACGAATTCGTGGACTATTAATAAAATTAAAGAATGGTTGACAAAGGAACATATACCATTTCCTCAATATATATTAAAATCAGAATCATTACGCTTGGCAAATATACACGCAAAACCAAAAACCTTTGTTGTGGATCAGATTATTTACGGTTATCAAGTTTTACGTCTGCCACCGTATCATTGCCAGTTTAATCCCATCGAATATATATGTGGAATAGCAAAACAATATTATGACAATCATATTGGGCCTAATGGTTATAGTGACGACGCAGTTCGGGAAACTTGGCGAAAAGCACTTTCAATTGCAACTCCAGAAGTGTGGCGGAACTGTATATCCAAGTGCGAGAAACTAATAGAAGATTGGTGGACTCGTGAAAATAAAATAAACGCAATAAGTCCAATCATAATAACAATTATTGGTGATGACAGTGATGATGATGACGATTATGGATTTTAAATGATAATGACTGATTTTCATTTTTGTTGGCAAGTTCAATTTTTTTATTTTTCATTTGAAATTCTCTACATGGAACAAATTTTTATGTTAGAAAATATTTTATTTGAGCTAAATAACCCTCTTATTATACATAGACCATATTTTCTGTGTGAAGTGTAATATAAAATTATTATTAGGTTTATAATAGCCACATTAGACTCCATTAATGAAGAAGTTTAATTCTGCTCTCAATTATACAAAAGATTCTCCATTATTATTTAATTAAAAAGTTGTACATTATTTTTCATTTCATTTAACCAGTTGATATTTCCCCAAAAAACAGGTCAAACTTTTGGGTACTTACCTGGAAATACTCATAAAATGTTTAATCCGAAACCCGCGTAAGTATAGCGAACAGACTGTAACAACCATATACGTTCAATCTGTAATTGTGACAGTAATCACAGATTTGGCACACGTTGGCTCGTAATTTTTTGTATGATAAAAGAAATGTCTAGTTTGAAATGGCAACTTATTTCTTTTTGTATGGACTTATCAAACAACATTCATTAAAATTATAAATTCATTATAGTAAGTAACTAAAAGTGCAAATATTATTCCCTTAAAAGCTTATGTTATTCTCCATAATTTAAAAAAATATATAATTTACATTTTAAGTTTATATTTTCAGTTAACTAAAATGTGCAAATTTTCAATTGTAAGAAAAATAGATAGGTATCAAAAGTTTTATTGATGGAATTTTAACAATACAATTTGCCTAGAAACATTATTATTTGAATAAATTCTAAAGAAATTGGACATTATTTGTCTTTATCCACCGCGACCTTCAAAGATCGATTGTGGGACTCAATTATTTAGAGTATTTCGTCTAGCTTGGTCTTTGTTATTTATCTTAGTAGTTTTGACAGTGTCTCCTGCACGTAATATTACATGCTTCTGGCTTTTCTTCACCTAATATTAGAAATATCAATTTTGCTAGGCCTTCACACTCGTACAGGATGTGCATTGACATTTCTTCTTCATCTTTACATAAATTGCACAGTGTTGCTTCTTCTGTTGGATTGATAATACTCTTAGGCGACAGTTTGCGATAAGAAGATCTACTTTTATCCTAACGATTTAATTCAGTATTTCGTAAACTTGACCGAGGGATCCTTAATAAATTCTCAATCCTGGATAGTTGTTTTACCATTTTTAAAACTCTTTTGACATCAATTGGTTGATGAATGCATTGCACAATACCATAGCAATTCCACAAAAGTGTTGGAACCTTGTCATGAACTTAACTGAATCTTCTTGGGCTTGCACGTCGGACTTTTCATTGCCTTGATATCGTTCGTGGCCTGTTAACTATGTTAGGGTCATTTTGTTTATACTACTAAGCTCTATCAGGTTTTCTAGGCAGATTTTCAACAGTCGTGATTGGATTTCCATGAATTACGAACTTGATTTCTTCTTATATGAAGATGTGCTGTGGCGTGAGATTTAATAATACCTCCATTGTTGGCCTATTACACTTGCCTGCAAAGTTTTGGTTACGCACGCTACTGCGCCATGGTCATTTTGGCCCCAGTTTGTCCTGTATATTCTTCTACAGCTTACGAGAGCTATTGCAGCTTTATATGCCACTTTTTTTTAAGATTCCACATCAGCTTTTGGTCAAATATGACTCCAAGGTATTGGCATAGAAAAAAAATACGAGGAAATATTGCTTCGAATTGTGCAGATCCTGAATTTTGCCGATGACGTAGACAAGTTAGTCTCCTGACATGTCTAAGATCATTGAAAGACCAAAGGAAGACAAAGCATATCGTTGATACAACTAGAATAAGACCAGGGCTGACATATGAATCCAAAATGGGTATATTAATATTTTCAAAGGCTTGAAGAGATAAATAATTTCGAGTTATGACATAATATAGGTAAAATCGTTAAATATAATAATTGTTTATGTATTGATAGAATCTAACCAATAAAATAATAATACCTACCTATCTTAAGTACTATTCCCTCAAAAAAAAAGGTTAATTTCCCTTCTAAACTCAATCAATGCTTTTTTATATTTTACCTGTATCAGTATCGTTAGCCGCATCGGCAAATTGCGAATTTGAGCTCTCTTCACCAACTAAGGTTCCTCGCAACTCACTAGATCCGATGGTACCCGCCGGTGCGTCTTTGCACCCGAACCACCAGTACGCCGTTGATCTTGGGAACGCCGGGCTTGTTACGTCAACTGCGAAAGCTCTGTCGTTAAACCTGCCAAAAATAAACAGGTATGTTTAAATTTGTAAAAAAAAGAGATCATTATGAAAATACATCTTCATTTAACATCACAATTAATAGAAAAGAAACGAGAAAAATTGAAGAAAATGAGCATTAAGACATTGAATTAACCAATTACGGTTGTTCTATATACATTCTGAGCAATAATTAGATCATCAAATACTTTTTTGTATAATCTGATAAAACTTTATTATTTTCTTACCTATAGTAAGCATTATCTTTATAAAAATATGTATATCCATTGGTCCACTGGAAGGCAGCGTTGAGATTGTCTGGAACTCCGTCCCAGTTTGAAATCGGTTTGGGGTAGGTACTCTTGACTGGGGGCCTTTGAGATGGATCGAATCGCCAGAATTTACTACCTTTGAAGAAATAGAGCTTGCCGTTTCCACTCCAAACCATTGCCGTGTCTAAATCGTCTGGCACTCCCGTAAAACCTTCTGAAATGTCTTTCGGATAGACTCCGTCGGCTTTTTTACCCTTATACCTGAAATTTAGTATAAAAATTAAAAAAAGAATTGGTTCTCTTACTACTACTCATTAATCTATGAAAGACTCCAATTATTTTTGAAAGAACTTGTACGACTTTTATAAAATTTTATTTGTGGAGGTTGTAAAATCTAATGGATTTGTTGCCAGATTTTCTGTTTTCTCTAAAATATAGCAATCTTTGGTATTTCAAATATTCTATATTTTACTATTTTAAAAATGCTTAGGAAGTTATGATGCTCCCTATACCTAAATCTAACAGTCTGATATCAATTTGACTTCTTTCCGTATCTCCATCTGAAGCTACACATGTATTTTTTGCTGTATCACAGAGTTGTGAAGCAAATCCTCTTAGACAAGCTGACGACCAAGTAATTTTCAGATCGAAGGTGATAATTTTGAGCTAAGAGAATACCTTACAAAGATTAAGTCCTATCTAGATGTAAATAGTCTAACTTTGTGCCAATTTTTTAGTGTGTAGATAGATCTAAAAAATTATCAGGGTGTCTTCAAGCTATCAGCAATTCCTAAACTTTTGAAATCAACCCCCAAAAATTAACTTACATAAATATCGTACAAGTTGTTTTCAAAATAGGAGGAGTATTCTATACATTAGTCTCACCCTGTATTACATATTTTTAACAGCAATTTTCCTTCGCTATTTTTTCTAGAGTAAACAAAATGCCCCATATTCACTGCTCCTATCGTATACCAAACCTGCATATCATTCCTTTTTTCGTGCTCACCAGCAACTAAATTATATTTAAAAGTGAATTTCAAAATTAAGAATGCTAAAACGCGCTCATTTTTCTTAAGATCGGGATAAAAATAGTGCAAAACAAAGTTGATAAGGTAGTTAGGTGAAATACTTACAGGAACAAATAAAAAGAGTATAGCTCTAACGAAGAATCAACAGGTAGGCTGTTATTATATTTCATCATTAACATAATATATTCCTTATACAGGGGAAAACGTAAGTTATCCCTTCTGAATATCGAAAATAAGCTACTTTATTTTATAAAACAATGCATTTATATTTAAAAGTAATTATAATTATTATAATTATAATAATTCGTTTTGGTTCGTTTACCAATCAATATTTTACATTCTAAGCATATTTTATATTGGTTAACATCAACAAAGCATTAATGTGTTCCCTCGAAATATCCCATAAATAAAATCATAAGTTTGTTTGGATATCGTATTATACAACATCGCTGTCGTCGTCATATTTCTTGTATTTGAAAAAAATCGTGATAAAAATAAAATAATATCTTTTAAAATACCAGGCGGTATTTTCTAAGAGGAAATCAAGCAATTTCTTTGAGACGAAATATTCATTTAATCTTGTCTTTTATCATCCTATTGTTTGAATTAACAAAATAGGCGTTCCTTATTCTTGCATAAATATAGATCATTAGGCAGTCGAGAGATTCTTGATGATTTTTCTGTTTTTATGGACTTATTCAGATAAGAATATGTGTTATGCCTTCTAAATATGTTTGTACTAATTCTATGTAAAAATATTATCTTTTAAAATACCGGGCGGTATTTTCTAAGAGGAAATCGAGCGATTTCATTGAGACGAAATACTTTGTCTTAACCCTGCTGTTTGGATTAAGCAGATTAGACCTTCATTATTCTTGCATAAATATATATTATTAGGAAGTCGGACATTTCTTGATGATATTAGTTTTTTCTCTGCATTTATACAGGGAAGAATGTGTGTTATCCCTTCTAAATACAAATACAAAAATAATGTATTTTAAAATACCGGAAACTACAATGTAATTATATCTGCGGACAAGCTCGGAAAATTACAATTAATCTTGCTTAAGGTAAGTCGATTAATTTTTTAATTTTGCCATTTCTTACCTCCAATATTTAGATCCTTTGAAGAAATACGTCTTTCCATTTTTATAAGTGAAAGCAGCGTCTATATTTCCCGGCAATCCAATCCAACTGTCAGAAATAAGTTTAGGATATCCTGGAGCAACACTGTCGTCTGTCAATCTCCAATACTTATCCCCTTTGAACACGTAAGTATAACCTTCTGCAGAATTGAAGATGGTATCGAACGAAGAATCTAGACACAAACTTTGGTCGGTTCTCCCACCACTTGCCGGTGGAGTTTTGCTACCAACTTTGTGACTTTCATCAAAATCTCCATATTGATCATCATCGTTATCAGCTTGTGGAGTTGTCTTCTTGCCGTATAGAGCTTGGATTCCTTCGATATCGTCGGTGTCTAGATTGAATATTGGATCGTAGCCTCTGTAGAAAGGAGCCATGAGCGCCTCTCTGACGTCTGAGTGACTGAGACCTAGAGAATGACCGAATTCGTGAGCTGCTACTTGGAAAAGATTCGTGCCTCTATAGCTTTTTATCGACCAGGCTTCTGAAGCGTCAAAGTGGGCATCACCTCCGAAAACCTAAAACAAGGAAAATAGCATAACCAATTAATAAAAGCAAGTTTTCTTTACTTTTTTCAGGTTGTGGTTCTCTGACACATCAATTTAAATTTTAATCAACATATTTTATGATAAAAAGTAATTCTCTCCACATGACAAAATTACTATTATATCAACCAGTTGCAACAGCGACAACAATCAATAAGAGTACAGTGTTCAAAAAGACATTTTATCATTAACAATTCACAAAATTTTGTAATTCAGGTTGTTTTGAGTGATTGGTGCTTGGTAATTGAATTGAATTACTTTTCTCGGTAATTGGTAATTGCAAGCACTTTCCAAAGTGCTTGGTGTTTGATGCTGCCAATTACATTTACAAAGGGCTTGGTACTTGATGCTTGAAGCACTTTCTTCGAGTGCTTTGCCTTAGTTTAAATTGTTGGTTCTTGAACTGTTCCAGAATCTCATTTGATACTGAATGTCCAAAAATAGTGTTCCTTCGTATTTAAATTCATATAGGTATGCTAGAATATCACAAACAGAAAAACGAACGTCGGTGGGGAAGAGCAAAATCTTTTGCTGCGAATCTTCTTTCGCTATCAAAAGATTGCTCTTTGGAGCGAGTGGACAGAATAACTTCACCTGGGGTGGTAGAAGCCCACCAAAAGGCCACTTCTAAAAATATGGCATATGCAGACATCATTCGGCAACTTTATTAACCCTGAGAGGCTGACTTCCTAGCGACAACATCAGGTTTTCGATGAGCTGGAAGGCAAGCTCTCCCTAGACACCTCTCAGCGACATCCAGGGGGTTTTTGATAAGTTAATAACATGGAGAACTTTGATGAGCTGAAAAGATGACCGTCACTAGATACCTCTCAATGACAATCAGCAGATTTTTGACAAGTGGGGTCTTTTATGTCCCTGGAGAATACACAATGGAAGGCCTAAATGCTAGCTCATTTGTTAGAGTATCTGTACTTCATCAGTTGAGCTTTTCTTTTCCCGAATTGTTTTCATGTTTCTTTTTTTTTATGTATTTAAATTCAAATTTTTTTCTTAAAATTATAGCTACATGTGTATATTTTTTTTTAATTTGTTCTAACCTGGTTTTTATTTTACAAAGAAGTTATTTTATATATTAACAGTTTATTAATAGCCTACAAATATTTTTACTAGGAAGTATCAAGTTTTTGCGGACATTAATCGTTACTTGTGTTTATTTTTAAACATACTTCTTAAAGTGACCCTAATAATAGTAGATACCAAAATACCAATCCATTAGTAAATGAACAATGTCTATATACATTTTTAAAAGCACTTTTAGTATAGTTCTAATTATTTATGTAAATACTACTTTATTTAATTCATTTCATAATTTTAGCTTTTTTATACTTATAATGACAATAGAACACCTTGAAAACTATGACAATTAAGAATCAGAAACTCAGATGATGATTGTGTCAAGTTTAAAAGTTTACAGTAAGTGAAAAAACAATAAGAGAAAAGTAGTATAACACTAAAAATGCTATTAAACCAGCTGCAGAACAAGTAATTGCAAAAACGTTCAAAATGAGCAAGTCATATTTCTGAATCCCCCATAAAATTACCTTTTCAATGATGTGCTATACATGCTACATTGTAAAAATGAGTTCAATTTGGAATAAAAATCGACTTATTTTAAAATTTTCCTAGAATCTAATGAATAATGCCAAATAACAGGGTGAAACTGTTTTTACAAGATGCACTATATAATGAAGATCCTCCCATTAAAAAAAAAAGTATTATTGAGCGCAGCGCCATTTACATATTAACCTGTCAATAGACCATTAGTTGCCAATATATTTATTTTTAAACATTAAAGGGAAAATGGTGGCCTATTAACTGGATTTGATGGCCCGACTATCGGCTGCAGTGTATATGCCGTCCTTTTAATTATAAAAGTTAAATAGCCATCATTAAAATAGGAGGGTAACAATTATTGGGCCTTTTATACCCCTTCATAAAATGTTTGTTTGGGGCTTATTATTACACTATTTGAAGCCTTCTGTTATAGCCATTCTATCACTCATTCAACGGCATTAACTTCACGTTTTGGATGGTTAAACGCTAGTCTGCTAGTCCCATAGTGTTGAATCAGTTGCGATAACGTGGACTAATCTTGTCATTGTTTTATTTTTTACTTAGATTATACAAGTAAATCTCGTTTTTTTAATCTAACGCTTGTATAACTTAAAAGTTTCTCTTTGACTCTTAGTACCATAATATACTATTACTACGTACGTGCGATATAAGATGAAATAATGTAGTTTGATGTAGTAAGTAACCTTTTAGATAGTATTTGCCAATGTTTAATACTTACAGGGAAGTAGGCATGCGCCAAGGTTCCACCAGGACCATCGAAAGGATCTCCGTCACCGTGTTCGCCGTACTCGAATCGTATTTCTATGTGGACCTGTCCGCTTTTTTGAGTAAAGGATAGATCGGTGTATTTAGTCCAAACATCGAAAGCTCTCTGGACTTCCTGGTCTACGTCTGCGCGTTTTAACTTACTTGGATATTTCGAGATTTTGTAGGTTAGGTTTTTCACTTTCCATCTACTGCCTGGAATAAGAAAATTAAATTGTCAATTAGTTAAGGAGTTGTTTTAGTCATGGTTACATGAGTTTATTATTGTAGATTCAAAGAATTATTAATTTCAAAAAAAGTGTGCTATATTTTGCTAGGTTATTTACTAGGACATTTACTAATGTATATACTAGTGTATGTAGTAGAGTAATTACTCGAGTATGTACTAGAGTATTTACAAGAGTATTTTAAAAAATATATATTTAAGTAATCGAAAAACTAATCATGAAAATTGACAAACAAAAATACAATCCATTATTTTGGCAAAAAAACTATAAGGCAGTATTAAAATTGACGCAAAGTTAACAATAAATATGAATTGCATAAGAAAACCATCATCTGAAGCAACATAGGTATGTTCTGAAATTACATAATTATGCCAAAAAGAACAATATTTATTGCCTTCTTAATTTTGGTGCCATATTGCTTTTATGCTTTTTCTATAGCGTTTGTCAAATTCTAAGAACCATAAAATTTCCATTACCAACTTCCATCTCTGAACGATTACAATTGATTCTTAAGAATCTAGCTGGTGATTCATTAAAAGCTATAAAAATGCAAGTGTTCAAAATGTGATACCTACTAAAATATATTATAATGTAAAATTATAGTAATTAAAAGACGTCTGGAAATGTGTTTCACTATTAGTGATTCACTTTTGTGGTTTGTTCTTTATTTTTAGACGAAAGATTATTCGAATGTTAGCTCATTATTTTCAGATTAGAATAAATGTTTAGCCTGAAGGTGTACCTTTATTTATTTTTTAATTTAAAATTTGTAATAATTATGATAGATGTTAATGTACCTATTATTGCTGATTTTCAGATGAAAGTATCATATTTTGATTACTTTTGGAAATTCTAACAAGAGCTAACCCATCAGAAATAGTATCCATAAATAAAATGTCACTTGTATATTACATAATACCACTAAATTATTTCAATATTACGCTTTTTTCCAAACAATAAAACTAACGTTGCGTTTGTCACTTTTATGATGCAATTGTTAATTTATTAAAATATTTATAATTTATTGCATAATATCGATCATTTTTTTTTTTGGATCTTTATATAAAATAAACATCATTACATTTGAGAATAAACATCAGTGTTTGAAGTTTTTTCAGGAGATACGGTTGATGGAGTTTGATGAATCAAAATATTTACTCTTTAATTGAGGCGTTACATTTACTAGTATATGTTGTTTGGAGGGTCATTCGCGGTTAAGGTTACGAGGTTTAGTTAAAAAGTTTCAAATAGTAATGCCTTAAAAAAACATCTCTGATATTTTCAAATTCTCGAAGTCGAAGTTTTAGAAATAGTTGGAAAACTAGTACCAAGAGAATTTGAGTATAGGTACTGAAACATTTTTTAACTTCAGTTTGAATTTTTAGATAGAAATATGTTGTTTCGGTACAGCGATACTATCTTCTTGGACTCTTCCAATTATTTGCAATATTACAACTTGTTGAAAGCGACTAATCAGCAATTTTGTCTTGGCCCAACTTATATGAAAATGCTTAAAAGAAAATACTAAGAATCCAAATCGGTTGTCAGTGGATTGTTTCAAGGGTCAATCCTTGGTCTCCTACTAGTTCCACTATACAGGGTATTGCATACGTACTGTACAAACTTAAATAATACCTATATTCTTGATATCAGTTAAAGCAGAAAATATCCTATGGTTACCGAATTGCAAGCGTTAAAAGATCAGAATATAAATAAGTAGAAAGGTTCTTTAATACCAGATAGAAAAGGTAACGTGATCCGTCATGAAGATTCAAGGTTTTTACTTTAATATCTGGTAATCGACCAAACTTCTTCCGAAAAACAGATGGCAATCCTCGTTCATCATTAATGCTGTGTGCATGAGTACTATGGACTAGCGAGTAATATTTTGGAAGCAGATATTGTGTTTGCTAAGTTCCTTCTATGGTCTTGGAACCGTACGTATACCACTGAATAGCACGTCTTTCGGTTACAAGCGCGATGGATGCTTGGCTCTATTCTTTCTTGCAGCCCAGCTCTGTGGTTTTGAAGTTTTTCCCAAAACTTTACTTCTTTAGCATTTCATCTTGGGGCATGTCCCATGTATCTTTAGTCCTGAAGCAAGTAGACTTTCGTCTGATTACTTCGTTCCTGATCATTCTATATCGTGTCCTTTTTGTCACATTCTCTATCATCAAATGTAAAGGGGTGAGGTTTAAGATCATGACAGGTTCTCATTGCACCAGTAATGCAAACACAGGCTAGTCTTTGTACTTTTGAGATATTAGCTCTCGTAGTAGCTAAACTAGTTCTGTTACTCGAGGCTATAGCCCCGTAAGTGATGATTGTTCTTACTATTGCAGTATACATCCATTGCAGGATGTTTGGGTTACATCCCCATCGTTTACCTGCAATGTTTCTGCATACCATTAGGGCTTTTGTGGCCTTATTTACTACTTCCTGCTCATGTGTGTTCCAGAGAAGTTTGTTGTCCAGGGTTAGGCCTAGATATTTGACTTCATTTTTCCATTTTATATCTATCCCGTCTGATTTAACGGTTTTGAGATTAAGTTTTCTTTTCCTTGAAAAGGCTACTAGTGTTGTTTTTGTAGGGTTTATACTAAAGCCCACTACACGGCACCAGCTTTTGGTATGTTCAAGTCCTCGTTGAACTTTATCACAAGGATATTACTAAACTTGCCACTAGCAAATATGACTATGTCGTCGGCATAACCTTGACAGGGTATGCCGAGATCAGTCAATCTGCATAGAAGTTCGTCTACGGTTAGGCTCCACATTAGTGGGGATAGAACTCCTTGTAGACATTCTCTGGTTGTACAGATAGAGATGGTGTCCTGCCCTATCTGTGTCTCTGCAGTTCTCGTAGATAACAGCTGAGCCATCCATCTGGATGTGATGTTGTCTACTCCTCTGTATTATGGTAAGTTTTCAACGAACTACCTTTGCTTGTTATATTATATTAATTTTATCAACTTTATATTACTACAAAATTAAAATTTGTTAGTAATATTAGTATCATTAATATTTTTAAATCAAAATTAATCTTGTCCATGGTATATTAGAAAATTCGCCACATGTTCTCTTACCCACTAGGCGTGCCTGCAGATGACAAAAATTTTGACTTCGAAACCAGTGGAAATAAAGATATAACTGTGAGATCAAAATGTCTTTTATTTTTCTTTGCCTAGCCGCAGTATAAATAACTTTTAAGTAGCTTCTTCTACATTCGTTGGTATATAGTAAATCTAGGAATGGACCAAGTACACTACCTTGAGGTACTCTTGGTTTAATTTGTTTTAGTTTAGAGTATTTAGTTTCACTTTGAAGAATCGATCTGGTATATAAGATTCTAGTAATTTTGCATATTGTTTTGGAAGAATTTGTTCCAATTTGTCCCTCATTCCAAACCTTATCAACTAATATCAGTGCTGAGCATAAAGGTACTTCTTTGTCTTCATATATTTTTTCAATTAAATCTGTAATTTTGTATACAAGGTTCAATAGTTTTCTCGGAATTCAAATTAATGGTCTTTTATGGCAATTTTTCTTCATATAATAGTTTTAAGTCTCTCCAGAAATAGTTTCTCAAAAAAATTTAAAATTACTGTCAAGAGGGAAATTGTCCTGTAAGACTTAACTTTTATTTGTTTAATTTTCTGGTTTTAGGATCACTTCAGCTATGTTCCAAACTTGTAAGGCTTAACGTTTATTTGTCTCGTTTTCTGGTTTTAGTATCAGCTATATTCCAAACTTTTGGAATATGTTTTTGTCTGAAAGCTAAATTGAGTTTGACAATATTCTTCCTTTGTTATTTTTTAAAGATTGCTCCATTGGTAAGAACACATCATGGCGCTTTTTTGGATTAAAGTTTGTCTTATTCTAAGATAGTTCCCTATGGTTGGTCCATTTTTTGTTAGTATCTTTTGCTTTACCTGTCGAATGCGTTTTTGCTCTAAAATGGCAAACAACACACCCATTTTGTAATAGTAGTTTAACTCCGAAAATTTAGTATTAAAAACAATACTTTTGCTTTAAAAACGTTTATAATTTTTTTGCCTACTCTATATGAATAAAAGTGTGATTAAGTCACAATATCTGTGATCTATCACAATTTGGGGTTTAATAAAAATGGGAATAGCTGTGTCCCAGGGTGCTGGCCAATAATTACATTAATATGGGCCTAAAAAGTGTAAACACTATTATTACTTAAAGATTAGCTATGAAGCCCTTAACTGTAGATATAGATTAACTCACCTTGTAGTGCGTATCTCTTAGATCTATTATCACCGGTTCCAACTTTGTCTTTAACACCGCATCTGGGCAGCGTCATGGTAGTTTTCGTTTTTTCATCTAATTCACCTGAAAAAAATATACTTATTAATAAAACTGTTAAATTTCCATAATTTGAATTAAACAAAACATGGATTATCTAAATTAAATTAACCATGAAGTCATGTACATGCACTACATTGCATGAAGATGTGCATGACGCAATGAAGCTGTCGCAAAAAATCGTTTTTTGAAAAAATATATTTTTATTTAAACAACAAGTACGATATTTTTATGACTTTATTAATTGTAAGCTAACATCAGAGTGAAAGTAAAATAAAAAAATGTTAAACACTTTTTCAGAGATAACAAGTAACTTGAACTGCCGGCTGATGGAATTCTCGGAACTTCTCGACAGGTCAGCGGTTTCTATTATGTAATTCGCGTCAGCTTTCTTTCACGCTATTCACGTCACCTAATAAGAATGGTCCATCATGATTGGATCTCTATCACATAACCTTTACTTCTCGCCCTATAGAAGACTAACATAACTGTCTCTATCCTAGCTCACTTAGAGCAAGAAATCTCATAATTTGTTTCATAATATAACGTATACAACTGAATTTAAATATTTATAATAAGCAGCCATGTACTGCTAACATTATAACATAGTTATTAAACATTATAAATTCTTATTTATTTAACACACTCCCAATAGAATTTTTTAATTTATTTCCAAGTAAATTCGTTTATCACTGATCACTTTGCAATGGATTTATTATGCCATTCAGAAGGTTAAAAGTTAAAATAACAATAATAACTAACATTAAATCTTCGGATCATATTATTGAACAATCCCAATTAGTTTAGCCTTGACAATGATGAAAAAATTAATATCTAAAAAAATAACAATGAATAGCTATTTTTTTTCCATTTCAGATTCTGATAGTAAGTTATTAGTAATAATTTTATATTATAATACATGCAGGTTAAGGTTAGACCTGCATGTTATTAGTAGTGATGTTCCAATAATATTATGATATCACATAACCTCGAAATGTTTTGTAGTTCAATTATGCGTTTTGTTCAAAATTGGGCAATGTAATTAATCATAAAATACATTGTCACAGAACGTTTAATCTCTAAATTAAAAAAGTAATTTGTATATCTAAAAAATGGGATCAACTAGTTCAATGTTGAGTTATTATTAGAGTGAGACATTTATGAAATTTTTATATTTGGCATATTTTTTATATTATATAAAAATTTTCCGAATTTTTCATATTTTTAACTATTTTTGAATTTTCAGCATATCTGTAAGAATTTTACAAATAATTTCTACACAATTTAACTAAAACATTTTAATATTTAGTCTTGCCAGTAAAGTAAATTTAAAAGATCTTAATTTGTGTTGTTTTCCATGAAATAAGTATAATTCTAAGAAAATAGATTCCATTTTAGATGCCTGTCTATTGTAACGCCTAGATATTTAATAGAAATAGCTTCGAGGATTTGGATGTCATTAATATTTAGCGATCCAATGTGATTTTTTTGGATTAAGCGTTAATTAATAATAAAAATGGAAAATGATATCAACTTGAAATTTTCTGGACAAATCAAGCTCTACATGAAGACTAAGCCTATAAATAAAAATGGGATAGTCAGGGGGATGAAATATAAAAAAGTCAGAAATAAAAACATCAAAGCGATATCAACCTAAAATGTTTAGTAAAAATCCAAGCTCTATAAGGGGATAAAGCTTATTGATTCTGAACCAAAATTGCATAAAAACGGGGGGTTAAAAGGGTCTGGTAAACTGTGAAAAGTATAATATAGAATGCCAAGCATTTATATATCTTCATTCTAGTTGGAGAGTTAATGAGCGTACATTGAATTGTATATGTCTCAATTTCTTTCTCTTTTGATTTTGATTTTATATAAAAACTACCTTGATGCCAAAAATATCTCTCATGCATGAACGTTACAAATATGGCCATACGTGTATGTAGGTGTCTGCTGGTGTCTGTGTGTCTGTACCCACGATACCTAAAAAATGTATGCAGAGAGAAACAATAAATTTAAAATGTAAGCTTTAATACATCCTGTAATGAGTTGATTAGATTTTGGGCATATTCGGAACATCTGGGTGTACTTTATAAAGAGTCGTTTTTCTACTTTAAGGACAATATCTGTTATTTGTACGGGTGGTAATGAAAATAAACCGTCTAAATAGTTTTAAAGTAAATAGGTCGACAAGTTGAGGGTTTCTATGTGGTTTGGATACAGAGGATTAAAGTCATTTTTCGAGTTTTTTTAAAAAACTTTGTTTCTTTAGATTTCTTTACAACCCATAGGCATAATTCATAAGCTGATTTCTATACTAAAATTAATGCTACAAAGTATACTTTTCCCGAAAGCTTCATCAAAAGTAACCTCTGCATTTGCGGGGAATTAAAATGGGCGATCACCAGCTTTAAGAATTGTCATATTTCTCTCGTTTTTTGGTATGAAATACTTGAAACTAAATAATGCATGTTTCCTGTAAATTATTCGCTGTTTTGTGGAATAAAAACAAATAAATTAATAGATAATCAGAGTTTGACTGACTATATTTATTTTTATGATTTTTCTAATAAAGTTAGCCAACGCAAAAGAAAGTGAATTATAAAAACTATTAATTTCTTAACTAGAATTTTGAAATAAATATAATTTACATATCAATTAATTTAAGAGTTTCTCTCATGAATTATTTTCGTTTTTGGATAAATGATTTGCTCATAATTTCATAAAATTAACACTAAATATTAAAAAACAAGAATTATTGAAATTCTAACGGAAATCAATATTTCATGTATCTCACATATTCAAGATATTCCAGTAGAATTTTTTAATATAAATATATTTAAAAATGTGAATAGTATGAAATGAATCATCAAACAAATATGAGCAGAAGTCCAACAAAATTTTACCGAAGTGAAAGAAAAATTTTTGTTGAACTTATTTTCCATCCTTTTATTTGTAGGTGAGGTTTGGTTTGGACTGACATTAGAAGAGGCTTATAAAAATATTTTCGTATTAATAATAGTCACAAAATGAGAAAAATAATAATTCCTTCTTGAAGAATTAACACAAAAGAAATAAAATAGGAAAGCAAATCAAAGGAGACTCAGGATGCGCTCTGAGCTCCAACCAGTTTTTTAGACCTGTTATTCCATTGGGCAGAGAACAAATTTAGTTTCAATTTGGCATATAATTTATTAAAATAACAGACGAATAGATACTAAATAACGAAAAAGGTCCTTACCCGTAACATCTAATCCAGCAAATGCTTGGAAATCTTCTATGGCTTTCTTATAACTTCTTTCGTCTAAAAGTTGACTAGAATTCCCCCTCGATGGTGACAAATATCCATATTGAGAAAGGTATAACTGCAAATAAAATAAATAAATTAATTTTAGTTATATCTGTAATTAGTTAACACATATCTTGTCATGTAAAAGTTAATTTAATTTAGATAAAACTCAGTAGGTAATATTGAGGATAACAGTTTACAATTTATACCCCTTTTTCCTTGTTCTACAAACTTTTAAAACTTGTTTAATAAATTGTAAATAATTACTACTAAATGCACATGCATAAAATATGTAATGTTTATTTAATTAAATAGTGTTATTACTACGGTTTCCTTTTAACGATAATGAATGGGTGTAAAATTTCCAATAGTTGTTGTTGATACGTCAAACAGTACAATAACCTAATTTATTATAAACAAAATGTTAATAATAATCCTATTAACAGACATAGAAATTATTTGTTGTAATCAATAAGATTAATGTATCAATAAAATCACAAAATAACATTAAATTATATACAGAGAAAATAATTAATGAAAGCTCTCGTCCACCATTTATACAGAGTGTTCGATAAATACCTAGACATTTTATAAAATATACTTGTTTTCTTCTAATTTTGACATATAAAGTGAAAGTGACATATTTTGTAATCGCTCAAGATGCCAAAATGATCTAAAGGTTTATTTACGTGACACTCTGTATAATAAGTCGCACACGAAAAATGTAGTAGCTAGATAATCACTATTGACTTTCCTAAAGAAAGTACTTGTATAAAAATAAAATGAATGATATTGTCCAAAGCAATTCTTGTATTATACATTTTTAGCTTTTAAAGTATCCTTACCTCTATCACGCACGCCTATGGCGGTATTCCAAGACAAAAAATATACTTCGGGGTCAACCACTGTTTTCAGAGATACCTTGTGACTCATAATCTTAGTTAAAACAGTGATTATATTTGGAGAAATTTTAATTGCCTTTCTATGACTACCTACCTATATTTAATTACTTATTTTTGAACGAAATTTAATGGATAATTGTTATTTTATTGAACAAAAAGATATGCGTCTGGTAAACATTAACACATTTGATAAAAACAGTATTTTAAATAGATGTAGGTAAGGAGATTCAAGGTCTGTTAACCACAGATAAAAACCATGGTCTAGTGAAGATCGAGATATTATTTAAAATATAATAAATAAAATGATTACCTAATTGGGATGCTTAGAACATAAATTTAGTAATATATCTAATGTGTCCTAATTGTTTTGATTGGTAAAATGTAAAAAAAAAGCTTGGACAAATTCTCAAGTATTAGCAAAGGATGTAGATGATTATAATCTAGAAATCAGAAGAAGAGCAAAACAAGAGTCATTGGCAAAATTTGGAAATAAAAAGACCAATAATTGGACATAAAATCTAAAATTATTTTTACTAACCCTTGGACAATTAAAAAATAGTTTAATACGGTAAACATAAAAGACAAGGGTGTAAAAATAATAACAGAAAAAGTTAAGTAATGTAAATATGAGTGTGGGTACACCATTATTTAAAGAACCTACTAAAGATAATAATGTAATTTCAGAAGAAGATGAAGAGTAAATAATTATAGAAACAAATATATTACATAAACCATAAATCTAAGTAAAATAAATCCAAGCAAAATAAATTTAGCCACAAGTAAATTTATTTAATTTAATGTAGTAACAATAAAAAAGGAACCATATTCCTGGAATTAAATTACAAATAATATAAGTATAGAAAACAGAAGAAAAATAGGAAACTGGGAACTATGGAAGAATTACCTGCACTTTATTAAATATGCCAATATTGATCAAAGTGATAGAATGGGTACTACAATAACAAGTGAATTAACATTATAATAAATGCAAAGGGGTTTCAGAGGTAGAGGGGAAGATGCATGTACCCAAGAATAAAATTCATGCAAAGAAAAAGAGAAGAAGAACAAGGAAATGTAGGTTTACCTTAAAATATTAAAAACAAAATTATTTAAAATGTATTAAATCTTCGATTTTGATGTATGTGGATTCATAATAATAATAATGAACTATCAAGAAAACCCCTGGGAAAAATCGTAGAAAAGTATGGAAAAAACTATATATACCAAGATAATAAACCCAAATCTACAGCTTTATATCTAACGGTAAAAAGCCAATTGGATAAAGTAAATACGAATAATGGCCAGTTTCCTGAAATGGCACACAGTGGCCATGACCTTACTTACTGTATTTTTCCTTATCCTTCAGAATACCGCAGCACCTACCGGTTGAGATGATTCAAAAATTATTATGAATGAACGGCCCACGAGTTTTTTCGTATAAAGAAAATGATATTCTAAGAAATTCGATGAGTAACCTATAGGTTTACCTGTTTGACTCACCGCTTAGTTATCGTGTAGAGACAAAACCTTGCATTATATTTTATGTTTCATTAGTTGCAATCCATAGGTCAAGGTTAAGTATTTTTTAAATATTGCTCGTATAGTTTTTTTAAGTAGTGTTTATTGAGTCTAATTTTTTATCACTTTAATATACTTTTAGGGATTAATTTACTTTAATTCTCAGAAAATTTACGTATTCAGTTTTTATGGTAAAATATTGCCTATCTGGTCTTTTATGAATGCTCATTTCAAAAAGAAGAGAATAAATGTATTAGAGGAAGAAAATTAGCTGATTGTCATGAATGGGGACATAATGGTTTACAGATAGAGGACTGTAAAAAAATACTAAGGACCACAGTTGATGATTTTACCACCAAAACTCAAAAATAATAAATGTAGCCTTTACCATTATTATTATTAGTTTTACAAAAAACTATAAACCTATATTTACAAATAAATAGCCCTTATGCTATAATTAAACTAAAATAAAGAAGAAAACTCAAAGTAATGTTGCACTAAATAATAAGAGCAATCGTTATTTTCCGGAAAATAATAATAATAATAATAATACTCTCCCTAATTCACCCCCTTACGAGTGAATTTTAACCCCAAAAGCTGAGCTTGTCCGGGGAAAGGGACGGCTATTATTATTATTATTTGCCGTGGCGCTCCGGGGCGACTTAAAGATGATTGATGGTGCCATTTGACTTACAGGTGAGGAAAACCCGGAAAACCTCACCCACCATCATCGAGACGGTAATGTATGGCGAATTTTTTTAATCTGCGTGTCATATCAACAGAAATTGAATTTCTATTAATACGCCACACATCAAATCCTAAACCGAACCATGCAATTTAATTAAAAATCCACATGGTCTGGTCTGGGATTCGAAACCCAGCAGTCTCAGACTCATAAACTTGCCTATAAATGAATATAAGCGCGATAGACCGCTACACCACTGTGCCCGATAAAACACTTAAAACAACTACTTGTTTGAATCATATTGTTATACTGCACCCTGCAGTAGCCTGCGGTCTTCGTGTCCTTCTAGCCTTCTAGCAACTACAATTCAGCCACTGCAAGGCGCTATGGTCACTTCTATTGATAAAACTTCTGTTAAAAGGTCAGTATGGAAGTGTTCAAGGGCTTTGCAATAGCTAAAAGTTTTTTCCTGGTGACGCAATAATTCTTCTCGGCTTTTCCCAAGGTCTTAATAAAATACGCAATTACTTTCTCTTTCCTCGTCTGTGCTTGGGATAGCAAGCCGTTTTGGGATGCGTTGCAGTCAAAAATGAATCGTCTTTTTTCCCGAGGGCTAGCTATAATGTTTGTCGTAGTCAATCGCTTTCTATCTTTCTAGCCTTCTAGCAACTTGTCCTTCAGGTTTTTAAAAATTTAGCCCCTGCAAAGTGCTATGGTCACTTCGAATGACAAAACTTATGTTAAAAAGATAAGTATGGAAGTGTTCAAGAGTTTTGCAATAGCTAAAAGTTCTTTCCTGGTGACGCAATAATTCTTCTCAGCTTTTCCCAAGGTCTTACTAAAAATATGCAATTACTGTCTCTTCCCCCTCCTGTTCTTGGGATAGCATGGCCCCCAAGTCGTGTTGGGATGCGTTGCAGTCAAAAATAATTTGTTCTTTTTCTCAAGGGTAGGCTAGAATGGGTGTCGTGGTCAATCTCAATCTCGGTGAAGGCATTTTGGCAATCCGGCGTTCAGTCAAATAGACTACTGTTTTCAGTTAGTCGATGAAGGGGTTTAGCAATTCGGCCAAAGTCTTTGACGAATTTCCGGTAATATGAGCACAGTCCAAGAAAACTTCTAATTTCTCTTTTATTTTTGGTTTAGGCAAATCTTTGATAGCGATAATTTTCTCCGGATCAGTTTTAATTTCTTCCGCAGAAACGATGTGTCCCAAATAATAAGCTTCCGATTGGAATAGTGAACATTTATTGTGATTAGGCTTTAGATTGGCAATTCTTAATCTGTTAAATACTTCACTCAAATTTGTTAGATGTTCATCAAAAGTTTTTGAGTCGTTGAAGAGGTTTAGCAATTCAGAATTTCTGGTAATATGTGCAAGAAAACTCCTAATTTCTCTTTTATCACCAGATAACTATCCTTCAGATTATTTCTCTTGAAAAGGGAAACTTAATTATCTGGTAGATAGTAACTCTCCGTTGGTTAATTAACTGGAACTTTATCTGATGGTGAAAAGACCGACTCTTATTATGATTAATCTTTAGATGATGGTGGTGAGATTATTGTGTAATCCCATCACATGAAGATGTTTCAGCAAGCAGTGGCCAGTTAGTAATCCCACAACGGTGAATATCTGAGACCTTATAAGCTGTAGTACCTCAGCAGCCATGCGTGGATTTGGTCTCCTCAGCATGAGCTTACTGATTATGTGTTCTCTTATCTGTTGCCAGTGAATTTGGCGTTTTGTGGTTATCCAACTGTCCACTGCTTGTCTACCAGAGGTTTTGTTTATCCCAAATACAGGTTAGGGTCTTATGAATGGTTCATCAGCCTTTTCAATTTGTGGGCTACCTTTTTATCTTGGTACCCTTGCTAGTTTTACCTTTAAGGCTGCTTGACTGCCTGGGAAAATTAAGATGGTTTGTTTTTTGTACTTCCTTCTTAGATTCTCTGGTACACACAATACGCTTC